GTACTAGATCATAAGTCCAAATTCTCAAAAGAGTCGTGGCAGGTCTCAAGAACTAAGCATCAAATGTCAGGACAAGTAGGCAGGGAACTTAATGGTACTACAACAGGATATGCTACCTGTTCTTCTTCTGCCTGCTTTCCTTTCTTTTAATGAGACTATAAATGAGTGACTTATTTAGCCAATTGAAATGCAGTGCCACAGGATCTGGAGGTGGCTGCAACGGAAAGGGAATATGGCACGAGTAACTCCTCAGGGTTTGATACCTCTTGGCAAGGCTGCCAATGTTCCATCTTGTAAGCATTTGCTAATAAGCATTTGCTTGCTTTTCAAGACTACTGAAAATGTAGGAAGAGTAAATTTACTTTGAGAACTAACACTGTCTCTCTGCATTCCACGTTCACCCTACTGTGTTCTAATACCAATGGTAATTAATTCAACCGGAAGCCCCAGGCTGCTGCTCTTCTTCCTTCTCTCACTTTGGCACCCCTAGGGCCCAAATAAGTGTGGAATGGAGAGGTCTGGATTGAAATGTATTGTTGCTGGGATTTTCTCCCACAACTGATGGTATCAACCTCACTAGTGCTTCATTAAAATAAAATAAAAAAAGTAAATATATGACAAAGCCAGAGAAAACATAATTTGTGGGAAAAGAAACCTAAAGACAATTGAAAAGCCTAGTATGTAAATCCATACAAAAATGTCCCACTAATATTTTTCATATATTGTGACAGCCACAGCTATAGCAAAGAACAGATTTTTTTCCTTCAAATGACTACAACCAGCTTTTGTGAAATTAAATACAGGTAAAAGAACCAAAAGTAGGACAGGCCTTCACATACCCATGTTTTCCTTTGATAAGGCATCATCTGAACAAACATTTTCAAAAGAGCATTTTAAAATAGCTTTCCTAGAAAAAGAATTTGACGGATTTAGTTTCAAAAGATCAATCATGTATATTTAAATAATCATTCATGTATATTCATTGGTAATTGTAGATTATGAATATATATGTCTTTCTCTTTAGGTACTTTTTCTGATCGTTTTATACATTAAGTAAGGCACCATGATGCAGTGCAAAAAAAGTCAAAGAGGACTAACAGTGATTTAAGAATACACCATGTGTGAAGCACTACCCATGTACTAAGCACCTTGTATAGACTATTTCATGCAATCTTTCCCCCTAAAAAACACC